GCAAGACTCTACACTTGCCCTTGTTAAACCCTACGGGCTGTGCCAGCACAGGGCACTCCTTGGAGCAAGGGGACACAGACAGGGATGGTTTTTCCAGTGCTAGTGCTGTGAATTTCTTTTTCCTTCTCCCTGCTGGGGCCACTTCTGAGCTTCTGCTTCCCTGAGAGGGGTGGGTGATACTGGATCAGCAGCGTTGTGGTTGCAGCTCACCATGGGGTGGGTTTTGCCAACGGGTCAGTGCTAAGCTGACTTCTTTAGCTCCTGGAGAACCCCACACCAGCCAGCAGCTGGGTGTAGGGTCTTCTGCAGGGTGTACAAGGGGTGGCTCCTGCTCTGTGCTGGGCAGAGATACTGGGATCTTCGTCTCTTCTCCAGCACAGCCAGGGTTTTCTCCCTACAGATGCTGAACCTGAATTTTGGGCATCCCTAAGTTTGAAAATTGAGCTCACAAAGACAGAAGTGTGAAACCTGAAGTTTCCTTGATGGCCCAAGAGAACTGGGAGCCAGGAGCACCTGGGTGTCCCGTGCTGGTTGGCCATTGCTTCGGTCACAGGGACTGCGGGTGCATGCGGAGCCCAGCACACAGAGCTCCCGCCCGTGAGATACCTTCACCAAAACACACCTTTTGCTCCTGCTGTCTCAAATGTCACCTTTGCCTGGGGCTATTTACCTGGTTCTCCCTTCTGTGCGCTGGCAGCCAGTCTCACCCCGGTCTCTGGAAGGGCCTCAGGGTCACTCAGCAGGGACTTGTTTGTCGGATGTGCCCGTGAGAGTGCGAGCTGTAAGATACAGGGAGGGCAGCAATCCCGTAAAAAACATTGAGCTGTAGAAACACTGCCTTTGCCAGGCAGGAGGAAAGAGCAACCCCCAGCCCCTGTGTGATGACTGTGATACACATGGGGACAAGCATCACAGAGGCGTTTCTATGCACTCGTGGGGTATTGCAGGGGAGCCCAGACCCCTCCTGCACTGACCCGCAGGGACACAGTGCGGGCGATGCTGCGTGCCAGCCCTCGGACATGGGTGGAAAGGGATCATGTTTGATGCCGACATGAGCTGTACTCACCACAGCTGCCTCCTCCTCCTCCTCCTCTTCCTCCTTGACAGCACCAGGCAGTGCCCGGGGGGCATTGGGCCAGCGGTATGGGAGGCACAAGTCGTCCCTCTCTGCCCCGTGTCTCCCACGGGGATCGTGTGGTGCTGGCACAGTGGGACCCTCCCTGGGGCTCAGTCGTGGGCTGATGGCCCCCCGCGGCTCCCGGCGGTTGTGCCAACCCGTTTCCCTGCTGCGGCTGGAGTCTGACAGGTCCAACGGTGCGTCTGCACCATCGTCCCTTGTCACCTCTGCTTTTCCTCGGAGCTTGGAGCCATCCTGGCTCAGCCAAAGCTCCTTCTCATCCTTCCCATCCACGGCATCCTCCAGGAAGGACCTTTCCTCCTTGTATCCTGGTGGGACTCTCAGCCATGGGGAGAGGGGCCGCTCCTCGGGCGCGGACTTTGTGTCTCCATCTGCCCGCTGGCCTGGCTGGCACTGCTGCAGGAGGAGCTGCTGCAGCCGCTCCCTGTGCTTGAGCAGCTGCAGCTTCTCCTCCAGCTGCTGGTCCCTCATGTACACCATGGCGGCCGGGAGCTTCAGCAAGGCTGTGCGATCATCCCAGCCATCACGAGACCTCGTCCTGCCATCAGCATCCTTGGCTCTGAGCAAATGGCTGGAGAAGTTGCCACCGTCCCGGTCGGTCGAGACGCAGTTGCTGGCCAGCTCCAGCTGGTGCAGGGACAGGTGCTTGTGGAGGAGGCAGAGCTGCTCTCTCCGTGTGGTCATTTTTAGGTTTTCATAGGATGGAGCAACCTTGGGAGAAGTTGGTTTGCTTGCTGTTAAATAACTAAAACAGAGGAAAAAAATAATAATGTTAATTAGAGAATTTTAACGTGATTTCCCAGCTCCTGCAGGGGATGTGCGTGGACTCTACTGCTTTTTCTGTGCCCTGTTGCCTCTCTTGGCCCATGCATTGTGCTTGCCTTTGGGTGCTGTGCTGGAGAGGAGGGTCCTGGTGGCTGTGGAGATCAGGCAGCTGGCAGGGGGTCTCTGCACTGAGCACACTGCAGGAAGCCATCGCCATCCCATCATCTAATAGTGCTCTCCTGTCCCTGGGCCAAGCAGCTCCAGGCAGGGCACTGAGCAAGTCGGGGGATGCTCACATCAGCACTGCTGCTAAGTCACTTGTCAAACCATGCCTTAGAGCCAGGAGCATCCTAACTACCCCCACTGGGCTTTCTTAGTGCCTTGGCGGGTCTGGAGACCTCCAGGACAGAGGAACAGCCTGCCCTACCCTAATCTCACTCAATGGGAGATTTTTAGAGCCATGCTAAGAAGATCGGTAAAGGTGCGTGAACCTGCCCCTGCAAACCGAGTCCCTGCTGTTGCTGCTTATTTGGCAGCTTCCATGTGTGCAAGCTTTTCCTGGGAATGCTTGACAGGTCTACTCCCACTCTGGGAAACCGGCTGTCTGTACGGGTGAACTCACTGACTCTGCTCAGCCCTCTGCGCTCCTGAAATCCATGGGGAGGAGAGGCATGGGGAAGTGCTGAGCCCTGCAGAAAGCCATTAGAATAGATAAGGAGGAACAGGGATTGCTGCCTCCCAGGAGGCAAGTCCTTCTCCTCCTGGCTGGAGGTGGGGGCACCTGGTGAAGCTGCAGTAAATGAGATGCTGTTCTCGTCAGACTGGATTCCAGTCATTTTTTGCTGGTGTAAACTGGGAGACCCCCCTTCCCAAGGCTGTGGGACAAGTCTGGAGAAGAAGGTGGGCAGATAGAGCAAATACCAGCCATCTCATCACAATATTCCTGGCAGCACAGCTGCAGCGGGCCATGGATCAGACCCACACTGTGACCCACAAGCCGGGAACTCACGCCTCAAGGATGGGGCTGTGCTCGCGTTCGGGTGGCAGGGGAGTCTTCCTCGCCGGTGGGGATGCTGCTGCCCTCGAAGGACTTTTCTCCAGGAGGCAGGGTCTGGAGCCAGGTCTCACCAGGGCAATGGTTCCATGCAGCTGGTTGGCAATTCTCTGGGATGCCTGGGGTGGGGAGAAGAAAGTCCAGGTGAGGTGTTCTGCTGCACACCTCGGGCAGTGCATGGCTAAGGGGAGCCTCACCAGGCAGAGACACAGCTCTTCACCACGTGTGAGCAAGACAGACAGCTCCTAAGTGCTCTGTATGATACAATTCTGGTCAACAGCTCAACCATATTTGTATTGGGTTTCCCAGGGAATCTCACCTTTGTGTTTTCTAGTGGGATCTGTGGCAGTCTTTATTTTCTGTCTGCAGTGATTTGTAGCCCAAGAGGTCTTGTGCCTCCTCTCAAGTCAAGCCATGATTCAGTGACTTAACCAAGATAAGATCCTGCAAATTCCCTGACCCCTAGTCAGGCCACTAGACTTTATGTGTGCGAGCTCCTGGCATGCACTGATACGCTGGGTGTACTTCCAGTGCAGTACCGGGCTGTGAGGCCAGGACATCATCCTCTCCATCTGCTGTCATGAAAGGCTCGCCACATGTTCTGACTTGACTATCCCCTGCCCACCTGGAGGTGTCACCAACCCTTCCTGCGATCCCTATTAATTATCCTCACAGCCCGCCTGCAGCCTTACCAAAACCCCTTTTCACTTGCTCTTTCAAGTTTTCTGCGGAGTTCAGGGAAGCAAAGCCTGTGCCAGAACAGAAGCATCTACGTGGGTGTGTATGTGGAATTGAGTTCCCACAACCAGCAACAGGGCTCCAGGTCCTGCAGCCTCATCTCCCAGTGCCCAATATTCACCATATCACTCAGCATCCCTTGGCTGACACATACTTTCTGTGTTTTAAAGGCATGGCAGGCTTGCATCAATGCACAAAAAGGCAACCACTGAATGCCAGGCCCTCGGAAAACACCAATACTCATTATGCCACAGATGGAGAGACATCTGTGATGCTCTTGGGCAGGGCTGCTGTGGTGTTTTTGTTCTCAGTACCCACAACTCCCACGGTTTACATGCTCTCCAGGCTTTTCCATCATTCATAGTGCTCCAGCTTCTTGTCTGCCCAGATAATGGAGAGCTGACTCTGTAACTCAGGATGAGCTACACCGAAATGTGGCTCAGCACAATCTCCCTGGGTCCTTCACTCCTCGGGGCTATTCCCAGCAAGACACCCAAGAGAAAAACCAGCATGGTAGACAGAGGACGTAAGGAAGCTAGATGTGTTGTCATGGAGGACAAACAAGAGAAGAAGCAGAGCTGTGCATGCTCGCAGCGGGGACAGGAGCCTGTGCCAAACTCCAAATGCTTTGCTTGCAGCGAGTGGCAATTTCTGCAAAGAGGATGCACCTGGCATTTGTAGGTGACCTCCTTGGCTCTGGCAATGGCAAATGGACCAAGTCCAGATAATTATTTTACCCCTTAAGTGTCTCCTACTCACTTTCTATCCTAGTCCGCCCCCCTTGATCCCACTCAGATGACCGCAGTGGTGGGGAGACAGCCTGAGCACACCAGGCTGCCTCCAGCAACTCACAATTTCTGCCAGGCTGACTTCTTGGAGGACAGTGCTCGGGGAAGTCCTACTGCTTGGAGAGCTTCTCTGTCCTGCAGGCTTTTCTGCAAAAAAAGACACAACCAGCCACTGTGACGGTCCCACAGAGATGTTGCAGGCTACCCTGCCCTGCCATGCACTGGATCCTTGCAGCCTCCCCAGGATGCTGCTGGCTGGCACCAACCACCTTCTGCTGAGGATGTGGAGACAAAATTTCTGTCTGGCTCAAGCCACCACCTGAATGAATGTACCTTCCATGGCATGTGTGGGTGGCAGCAAGGTGACAACATGGTCTCTGTGTGAAATGGGTGGTGGGTCCATACCCGCACAGCGCTGGTCTTACAGCGAGGGCACCTGAGCACTCTTTGCTCTAATGCAGAGCAGCCTGTGTCTCCCTTGACATGCAGTTTCCCCCCCGGCAGCTATTCCGGCCATGGCAATGTCCATCAGAGCTGCCAACAGCTTGGTCTTTGCTCTCCAGACCCTTTCTCAGCCCAGCTTTGCACCGTGGCTCAGATATTCTTCCCATCCCTCGGTTCCTTGAGGGCAGCGGGAGCCAGCGGCACCCACCTTCTCCCAGCTCGAGGTTGTGGGGGGCTTCTTCTGCTCCCCTGGGAGCTGCTTTCTCGCTGCCAGCGTTCCTGCTCACTGGGGACAGTAAAGCCAAGGGGGAGCAGGGGGTGGAGCTGATTTCTCTGGAGGTGACTTCTGCCTGCTTTGTCCTGTCCCTGTTGAAAGGAGAAAGACACGAATGAATGAGAAGGGGCAGGAGAAGGAAATTGCTGGTTTGACAGTCACTGTATTGGGAGCTCTGAGTTACAGAGCCCGCTATATAAAGATATATATTTATATATAAATGTATGTGGATATACCAGATCCCCAGACTCACCTCCTTCCACTGCAGCTCATCGACAGCTCAGCTGCAGGCTGGAGCATGGGACAGAGCCAGCATGACAGCTCAAGGTCTGATTTCCCCACCTGGCCATGGGTAACATCATAGGAAGCCACGACATTGGGTAAGCCAAAACCCAGCTGCGGCTGTTGCAAAAGCTCTGTGAGAACCCGTACAACCCTGGCTGGGCTCTCAGCCTGCCAGGGGTGGATTCAGCGTGGAGATGTGGCAACTGTCACCCTTCACCATATCGAGCTGGGGGGAGCTGATGCTCTTGATCACCATGACGGAGGCAATGGGAGACCTGGAGCCTCGTGGTTATGTCATGGATCAGGACCTGGCTGGACCCTGATGCCGAGACATGGGTGTTTGGCTGGAAATCTTCTCATCAAGCAGAAAAGGTGGGCTTGGTGTTCAGCAAAGCCAGCCTGACCTACACCTCCAAAACTCCTTGGGCCTTGGGAAGCATCGAGGAGTAAAAGCGAGAGTTTCTCTTTAAGCAGATGGTGCTTCTGTGCTCCAAAGACAACACATTTCTAAACTAATCCCTCAGTGCTAATTCCTCTGGACTTTAAACCCTTGAGGAATGAGCTGATTTGTACATATTGGCCAGCCTGGCAGGTTACTTGGCTTTCAGCACAGCGCTCTGCTGGGACATGAACCAGTTGGTGCAGATCACTTCTGCCTTAACACCGGCTCAGTCCCTTGTGTGTCACTCTCCTTTCACCCCCCAACACAACCTGCTTCTTGCAGACCCTCTCTGGCTGCTGCAGGAGGGGAGCTGGTGTCATGGAAAAGCTGTGGAAGCCCAGGGTGGGGTCTGCGGCCAAGGCAAGCAGCCCCCCACACAGGGATGTTGAATACCCTTGTTCCCCAAAACCTGAGTCACAGAATCACAGAAGGGTTTGGGTTGGAAGGGACCTTAGAGATCATCCAGTTCCACCCCCTTCAGGGACACCTCCCACTAGCCCAGGTTGCCCAAAGCCTCATCCAGCCTGGCCTTGAACCCCTCCAGGGATGGGGCATCCACAGCTCCTCTGGGCAACCTGGGCCACTGCCTCACCCCCTGCACAGGAAAACATTTCTTCCTAATATCTCATCTAAATCTCCCCTCTTCCAGCTCAAAACCATTACTGCTTGGATCCTTTGATGCAGGTGAACAGGGAGTGAGCAAAGGTCAACACTTAGAGACCATTATGGCTGTTTCGATGTCTGACATCTACAGGAATCCGTGGGAATTATTAGATGCTAAAATACCCCCAGGGATGCTGCAGTCCAGCTCTGCTGCAGGGATGCCTCTGTCCTTACCAACCCCCCTTGTAACGCATGAAACCCAGGAGAGTGCTTACTCCAGGCTCCGGAGCCTCTTCAGTTCTTCCTTGAGAGTTTTGTTCTCTTCCCTCAGGCGGTTCGTCTCGTTAGCTGCAGGGACACAAGTTGTGCTGTGGATTGAGGTGCTGCAAGGAGAGAGCTGATGCTCCTCGCAGCTTGATGGGTGCACGGGGGAGGAGGAGGGAACTGCACCAGGGTTCGGAGGGATGCTGACCTTCCTTCCTTCTCTGAAAACACACCAGGGGCTAAGGGATAAAAAGGAGCAACTTTCCGACCTGGGTTTGGTCAGGACTGGGGGGCTGCGTGCAGCCTGTCCAGCTCGGGGAGGGGGGGAGAGCACAGCCCAGATGGGGCGAGGGCTGCGGCACAGTGGGATGGACACTGCCGGCATCCTGCTGGGAGCACCACGGCTGCCTCCCATGAGAGGGTTCTGTGTTAGGGGGAGGGCTGGGGGGGCTTGGGGGGATCAGAGGAAGGCCAGAGGGAGCTGGGAGCCCCCAGCAGCCACAGCGAGCTCCTGGGCAGGGTGGGCTGCAGGCTCCCTGGCAGGGTGGGAGGGCTCACCTGCAGAGATCTGGGAGAGGCATTAACTGAGCAAAGCCTCAGACAGCCAAAGCCGAGCTTACAGCAGGCGGGAGTACGTACTGAGGATGAAGATGTGCTGCAGGCTCTGGAAATGGGAGGTCTCGTACTCGTTCTGCTTCTTTTTCGCCAGCTCCTGGGTGACCATGCATCTGTCACAGAGACCCGCTCGCAGCCTGGAGGGAAACCCACGGCCAGCAAGGTGTTACCACACAGTTCCCATGGGGGAAATAAACCCCTGCTCCCCCCACAGAGAAGTGCAAACACCCAGCCCATCACCCCGAATTGGTGAGAGAGGTTATCACCTGTGCAGCCCAGCCCTAGCCCTTGCGTCCCCCCAGATCCAGTCCCACCACCCCCTAGGAAAGCTCCTCTGCATGTGCCTGGGCTCCCCCAGCTCTCCCAGCAGCCGAGTATAAGCAAAAAAGAGGGTCACACGCTACAGGCCACCCCTGGGAAGGCAGCAAACCCCAAACTCACCCCGTAGGAGGGTGCATTCACTGCCACCAAACAGCTCCCCATTGAAAAAGAAATCTTACCTGTTTTCCAACACCTTTACGTTTTCTTTAAGAACCCTCTGTTGTTCCCTGAGTTGGTGATTTTTAGCAAACAGCTCTTCAATTCTCTGAGCATCACTAATTAAAGGAACAGAACAAAGAAAAGAGGTTTATTAGATTTCTCCCCAGATTCTGTGCCTTTATCCACAACACCCTGCCAAGGGGAAGGATTTCTGCCCAGAGCCCGCCGTGCTGCTCACACCGGTATGGCTGAACTGCTTCTGCTTGTGTGGCAGCAGGGGAAACAAATGTGCTAGAGCCCAGACACTGCCCTGCAACACCCGCCCTTGGAGTTAGCAGCATGCTTCATCCCATTCTATTGCATCCCAAGACAGCGAGTGCCGGCTGGCACGAGCATCGCTTGCCGGGGGGAGATAAACTGGAGGTGGGCTGGGATCACCCCGAGCCGAGCCCTGCCTGTGCATGGTGAAAGTCACCAAAAAGTTTAGATTTGGCAGAGCCAGGAAGGCAGCGGCGTGTCGCTCACCGGCACTTCTCTGTCGTCAGCTCTGTCAGCTTGCTTTGCAGACCTGGAATCATACGAAGAGACAGAGAGGTGGGTATTTATTGCCAGTTCCCCAGCACTTCGAAAACAATGCAATGATGGAACTCCAGGAAGGTGCCTGGCTTTGCAGAGACCTCATCAATTTACAAACCTTGTTTCTGAGAAGGAATAACACATTGGCTGTGCTAAACAATATCACAGCTCAATATAGCTCGAAAAGCTGTACAAACTGTGAGCACATTTTGTTTGTCTGTTATTTAATGAGTCTGCATCCCCACCCCCACATTCCCAAAAAGTCTGTTTCAGTTTTGTTTCTACTTATTTCTCCTTACAGCACACATTTCCCAGGTGAGCTGTATTTTATAACTCTCAGGGCTGCAAAGCATCGCGGAGAATATTTACAGCTCAACGAGAACAGCTTTCGTTGATGGATCTGCAGATGTTACATCTTGTCAAATCCATTTTATGCAAAGTAGATGTAAACATGTGGTTTAAATTGCTCAACAGTTTCCTCTAACTCTCACACGGCTTGAAATTACACAAGAGAAGAATTAATTCATAAAGCAGAATCCTCCAAAAGCGCTGCTGTTTTGTTCATAATATTGATACTGGGAATTATCCTAATAGGAAAACAATTGCATTTGGCGTTTGGTTGCTTAACTTAATGGTCCTTCTTTTAATAATGGATGAGCTGAGGAATAATTTATTCCCTAGAGGAATAAACTCTAACCTGATTCTAAGGTTTTCTTTAGTCCTGCTGCTTCAGTCTTACAGATTATTGCATCTTTCCACTTTCCTCTGATCCCTCAGTATCCAAATACCCTCCAATCCATGTCGCTCGGAGAAGATGCCCAGTGGGTGTGCGTGTCACTTCTGCAAACCCCCAATTCACCTTTGTCACAGACCACAGCAGCAGGAGCAGGAAAGGAGCCAATTCCCCATGATTAATGCTTGCAGCAGGTGGGATATCTCTAGGGATACCGGGTGCAGGAACACCCTCTGCCTTCTGCTCCTCCTCCTCACCCAAAAAGTTACTGATTTTCTCAGTAAACCTCCTTCTCCATCAGACTGAGGTGGATAAACCATCCCAAGGTGCCATCGGATGGTGTGGTCCCCTGAGGGCCAGGACCACGTGTCGCCATCCATCCCTGGGGGTGATGCTTCCGGAGCCCTAATTCCCAAAGCTCCCTAACCCGCACCCCCTCTACCTCCCTTCGGCTCATTTCAAACCAGGCAGATCAAGGTGGTATCACAAAGAAACGGTCCTTTGCTAGTTTTTAATAAAATTTCTCACGTCTCCTTACCTTGGACCTCCTTCTCATGGATTTCCTTGAGCTTATTCAGGAATTCTGCAAAGCTCTCTGTGGTCATGTTCAGGGCTGTGCCGCACGCTGGGCTGCTCCCAGCGCGAGAAGGTCCTTTCGTTTCCAATTAGTCAGATTTCTGTCTAAAATAGAAACAAAGAGTCCAAGAAAAAAAAAGTGTCTTGTGTATGTGAAGTTCTGGGAAGTCTTAGAAACAAGACAAAGCCCAAATCTAGAAAGAGAAACCATCTGCTAACCACAGACACACACAGGAGCTGGCTCCTCCGGGAAGGCGTTTTCAGACCTGTCCCCCTGCCTCAGCCCCGGGCTGGGGGCACGGGCAAGGTGGAGAGTGATGGCATGGAAAATGGGAGAACAGAAAGCCCAGCTGAAAAATCCAGCTTTTTCTCTTATTTTTGAGCTGTTGAAATCACATTTCTCTGGGATGAGGCAGGGCAGGGCAGGGCATCTTCTCAAGGAAGGGCTGGTGTTGGGATCACACTGCTGGGGACTGATGATGGGAAAACTCGCAGCAGCTGAGAGGCTCCCATGTGTCCCTCCTCCCTCTGGCACCACCTACCCCTCAGCCGCCCTGCTGTCATCACCCAGGCTCCTCGGCTGGCCTTACTGGCTGCAGCCTCTTTGAATCCATGCAAGACTCCAAACTGAGCCTTTTTTACCCCGTTTTACAGAGAAACCTGCCCTGGGCTCAGGTCTCTGCCCAGTCTGCCCCTGCCTCAGTTTCCCCATTGATGTTATGGGGTTGTTAGTGCTCCATCACCTAGTGCTGGTATTAGCAGTCTGTAATCCCTGAGAATGGATAAAGTGCTCTGCTTTCTAGAAAAACCCTTGATTTTTCCTTTTTTGGTTGAAAACTCCCCCCAAAAAACAGGAGAGGTGGAGAGCAGCCCACAGCATCACTGGCTCAGTAAGCTGGGAAAGTAAAGTGGGCTTTTTAAAGAATTTTATCATAATTTTAAGAATTTTACCCTAATTTTAAGAATTTTGCTCTAATCCCAGTGATCACAAATTTTGAAATTACTATCAGGGATTAGAAGTGGAAACTTTGGAGATAAGAAAGCTCATTAAATCAGTGATGACCTCATTCCTCCCTGCGATGCTGATGTTGGGATAAACTCTTTCCTTTCCATCAGCCAAAGCCTCGGGGAGTCTTGGATCCCCCGCAACAGCCACAGGCCCAGGTCCCTCCTGGACCACGGTGGTACCAGGGAGGGGCCTGTGTCCGAGCAGCTCAACAAAGCATCAGGGAGGGTCCCACAGGGTTTGGGCAGGAGGGGACCCCCTGAGCAGTTCAGCCAAGCCCTGCCCGACCAGGGGTGTCCTCCAGGACCATCCAAACCATCCTGGGAGAAGAACGACTTCCATGCGGGGGCATTCAGCATCTCCACATGGGACCTTCTCCCCCAAAAGTCATGCAGGGTTACCAAGCCATGGCCGCTAATCCCATTCCCAACAAAGCGCCTGGGCACTCAGCCTTCAACCATGTAGAGATACCCAGGGAGCAACCCTCCCCTCCCTCATTCAGAGGTGAAAGGCTGGGCTGGGACCCGAGTTTTGCAGCCCCACGGCAGCACATGGAGGTTTCCGCCAGCTCCGCACGCTCCCAGCCTGCCTGTGCCTTTATCTGCATGCAGAGCAAAGGTGTGCCGGCTCGCCTGCATATGCAAGATGCGGGCACGCAGAGCTGGAAGAAAAAACTTTCCCCTAAAGCGTCTGATTTTCAAAAGAAATGAGGCACACGCCGCCGAGCAGAAGCAGCGAGCTGGGCTTGTGTGCCCTTACCACACTTGGATCAGTGGAACAGCTTCCCTGCCTTTTGAGAAAACAACTAGATCTCACGGTCTGGAGAAAGAATAAAAAAAAATAAATTCCTTACTCCCACTTCCCTGGGCAGAACGCAGCCTTTCCCAGGGCTGGGTGATCTCTCCCAGCAGGTAAAAGTCACCCGAGGTGCGGTGTGGCTTGTCGCGGCTCGCACAGCTCGGGATCGGACGCCGTGAAATGGGATTGGGAACTGAGCTCTGCTGCTCAGCCCTGAGAGCCAGCGCTGAACAACAACCCTGGGGAAATGATACCCAGCTCTACTCCAAAAAAGAAAAAAACCAAACCCTGATGTTAACGGGAAACACTTACTGGGATCACTGAGTCCTAAATTCAGTTCTGCCCCAGGGAAAGCACCTCCCTGGGCTGAAACCCGAAGTGCCACTGGGGAGGCTTGGAAGCACTCAGGCACTAATTCCCACTGTATTTCCCAGTGCTGCAAACTGGGCAGGGATTGCAACTGGGAGCAGACCCAGCCCAGCAGCGGCATGGGCATCCTACGACGCTGGCTGGTGCCAGCTCAAAATTGCGCACCCTGCTGCTGTGCCCCCCCAAGGATGCTGAGCAGCACCCAGCATTCTGGGCCACGGGGCTGCAGCTGGGACATCCCGGGAAGGTGACAACCAGGCTGGGGCTGGGCTGGGATGTGGCTGGAGGCGGAGGGTGCAGGGGCAGCCCAGGTGCTCAGCGCCGGATCCCCTTCCCTGCCGCTGTGACTCAGCATGAGCCCGGCAGATCTGGATTGGGGCTGGGCTGTGGGCAGCAGCTTTGCCTTCCTGCACAGTGCCATAAGGGCTGATTTTCTTTTCCTCCCAGCCCCCAGGTCAGCAGGGGTCTGCGACTTGCTGGGGATCTGATCAGTAGGGAGAAGCTCTTGCCATTTTTGGTGCTTTTTGAGATGCCAGCATCCATCCCTGCCCGCAGACAGGACTGCCACTCTGTGGCCAGCCTGGCGAGGACTTTGGATCTCTGCTCTGTGCACACACACGGTTACAGAGATGTTGCGTGAGCATCACCCCCTGTGTATCTGTACCCAGGATCTGGCTTTTTGCTGCATCAGAGCAACTGTGCAGACAGCCCGAGCTCCCCAAGGGCTCCGGCTTTGCTCCCTTCTTGCCCGGTGCAGACTGGCCAAGGTGTGAAGCCGCAGCCCCTGGCTCCTCCACCCTGCTCGAGAGGATTTATTGAGAGAGATTTACTGTTGAAGGGCAGACCACAGACTCCCTCAGTGTGGAGCTCACTCCCTGCGACAGGGATTTCATTTACAGCCCTGAGCCCTTTCCAGAGCTGTCACCATAATATACACCCAGCTGTGCTGGATGTGGCCCCGTGGCGGGGCTGGGAGCGAGCCCTCGGCGTGCTGGTGGGACCAGGCGTATTTCAAAGTGATGGGTGCCGTCTGCAAACAGAGCCCCAGTGGCGGGGACCAACGGCAAAATCCTCATCAGCCCCTAAATCTGGCAGGTTTGGGAAGCCCCAGCTCCCAAGGCTTTACTCACCCGCTCTCTACGTCTCCTGATGCTCAGCTCAGGGTGGGACACAGGGTCCAGGTCGGGGCACAGGGTCCCTGGCACGCCGGCTGTCACGCGTGGGGCTGGGGCAGCCCCCAGCATCGCCTGGGTACTGATGGCATCGCTCCTCAGGGCGGGATGCTCCTGACTGCGGCTGGGGAAAGGAGAAGCAGCAGGGAGGTTATTTCCTAGCCCATGCCAGGGGGCTTGGGAGGGAATGGGGGACAGCCGGCTCTGACACCACCGACACCATTCCCTGGTCCCTGGGGGGGTTTCTGGCCTCTCACTACCCCAGTGCTGCTGGCCACGTGTGCCTCGAGCCATGGCACATCCCTCCCCTCAGCACTGTTCCCTTTCAGAAGAATAAAGCAGCTCATTAGCTAAATGAGCTTAAGTTAAAGAAAAAAAAATTTAAAAGGGCAGGACTTTGAAGTTTTGACAGTGTCAGATCGGTGAAGCTTAATGGATTTACAACCAGATATTTCCCCATCAGCAGCACCGGAGTTGTCCAGCTTCAGGCTGGATTTATGTAACATACCTTTTGCTGGTCAATTGCTGGGCAGGGCTGCTTTCACCAGACAAATTTTATTTTCTTGGCTACCCTACCATCTTCTTGGTCTAATTTTAGAATTATAAATTGACTTTATGCTCAGAAAAGCTGCCTGATCGCTCATGGAAAAGCTGCAGTGCCAGGAGTATTGCACTGGCCAGCGTGAAGCCGATCCCTTTGCTGACTTACTGCACACTTGGCAGATTGGAGGGTTTGTTTTTTTTTTGTGTGTGTGTGCTGGAAAGGTTTTTATGCTGGGCATTGATTTATATGACTTAACATGGCACAAGCTGCCCTAAAATGGAGCCCAACGCTTGCTCTCGGGTGTTGGATAGGGGCTGGCAGATTGCAAAATTCCCCCCCGACGGGTGAGACAGGAGGAGCAGCTTTGGCTCTCGCCCCTTGCCAGGGAGGAGGATTAGGTGCCTTCCTCCACCTCGTACAACCCGAAAATCCTCCCTGAAGCAGGGCAGCCGCGCTATGCTGCTCCGCCAGCCCGGGGGCCGGTTTGCAGTGAGCCCTCGCTGCAGACACCCTGCCCCACGGTCGCCTCTGAAAATTTAGGATGGGAATCCCACCTGGGTGGTGCAGAGCTGCAGCGGGGCTGCGATTTGCCTTGTTGGTCCTTTGGGTTTGCAGGGGACCGGTGCTGGTCTCAGCCCCCTGAACAAGCCAAACAGGACCGACAGCGCGGAGGAGATTCTGCCCCTGCTCACGTGTGCACAGACATGCCCCATTTCGGGGAGAGGAGAACAAGAGTGAATCCTCCAAGTCAATCCTCAAGTCCCAACCTGCACATCTCTTTACTGCAGCCCTGGAAAGTCTGTGTTGGCATAGCACAGCACAGCCCCGGCTATCGCAAAACCATTTACTGAAACCTCGATTTCTTCCCGCATATCTCTGGAGGCAGCTTCTGCTTCTCCAACCCCTGTGGGACCACCAAAGCAATGGGGATTTTCTTTCGTTACTGCTTATTTCAGCTTGAGACCCCCTAGCTAGGGGGTGTCCCTGTGTCCCCGGGGACATCCCTCCTCCCAGCATGGAGTCTTTGCTGCCCTGGGCTCACAGGATCGCTAAAGCAGGAGAAATTGGTCCTCTGCAATACCTGGATATACCCCGGAACTAGATTTTATATATTTTTTATAATAT